ATCAACACTGAAAAGATATTTATGAATTCAATTTTTTTTATTTTAAAATGGCACTGCAGTACATAGGAGATATACTGCTCAAAACTCTTGAGAATCTAGGTCCTCACCCTTAAATCAAACACAATATCCTTTCTCAGCGAAAAACTACTATTCACATCAAAACGGATGAGCTGAAGTATCCGACCATCAGATCAGAGTTAATGGTACCATCATGTAAATTCTATCAAAAACTTGGTTTTCAGAGTTATTTATCTATCAAAAGTGTGTTGAGGGATTGTGAACCCATACTTTATAAAAGACTTAACTTCACATAGCACTTAAATTCTATACATTACTTTTTTAATCTTTCTAGCCAATTCATTTAAAATGTCCTTACTGCCAACAGCACCGTAAACCACAAAGCAACAACTTACTTATTTTCAAAAAGTGCCCCTCGAACAGGCAGACTGTGTGAGTGAGAAACAAACTGGGCAGGGGGTGGGTGGGAATTTGTAGGAATTGGTACCAATATTCATTTTAACCCTCGTCTACTGAAAAATAATTATGCTATAATTTCTGGCATCCTTCATCTTACTTTAGTCATCTCAGACAGCATGTTTTTTATTTTATTTGGGGGCACTGCTGAAGTGATTGGTATTTCTGAAACCCAATCATAAATAATTTTGTGATTTCATGGTGCGTAATAAAATTTGTTTTAATTCGATTTTAAAACAAAGATTTCCTGTCTGCCGAAACACAAGTTCTAAAGAAATTCTAAGAACCAAGAATGCTGTTCGGTAGTAAATGCAAGGCATTTGTGAGGCCTCTTAGTTCAATCACTGCCATGAAAAAAAAAATAGATAAAACTAACTCCACTTAAAACTATAAATATCCAAACTCTATTTCACAAAAGACAAATGTGTATAAGGGTGGGAGCAAAACAGGGCTTGAAGCTCATTCCCTGCTTGGGCCTGACACTGACAAGATCCTTGGCACTATATGGTCCCCTACTGGCACAGCCCTGGATCCTTCTACCCAAGCCCTGCACTGTGTGGCCCTTTTAGGTCCCTTCTCACATCCAGGAGAGCTGGGTAATCTCCAGGCACTGAAAAAACTAAGCAGCACAGCATCCTCAGGCCCTTGCACTGAACTGCTGGCCAGGTTGGCCAAAATTGCCCCAAGGAGCCTGGCCTCCAAGCACTGCTTGAATAACTCCCACCACCACCACCAAAAGAAGAAAACTGTGCATAAAGCAACTTTGCAAAGTTGATTCTATTTTTTATGTGTTTATTATATTCATACTTAAAACAGTGAAAGAAAATCAACATACAATCTAATTTTAACAATGCAAATAACCAACACCAAGATGAAAAAGTCTACGGCACCTGTAAGTATTAAACTTCTCATAAAGCTCAAGGGATAATGAATTAATCAAGTAAAGCCTTTGTACTCTGTCTCTGAAAACTGTTCATCACCTTTCAACCGCAGTCTTTCTGCTGCTAGTTTGTTTGTTTGTTTGTTGGTTGGACGAATGAGCTGTAAGCAGGAGGCATTCCCCACCGCAGGGCTCAGGGGAGGACCATGTGGAGCTGGGGTCTAACCAGGGGCTCCAGCTCTGAGTTATCTCCCCAGTGCTCAATATCAATCTTCAGTAATAGTCTACATAAATTTGAGTCCTAGGTTTATAACTACTATTTTAAATAGTAGAATAAAATCTCTAAGCACAGATACTGAGAAAGACATCTCCCCAGTGAAACCCTGACACACAAATCTTTCATTCTGCTTTGTTTTAGGGGCCACACTAGGGTGTACTCACTCCTGGCTCTACCTATGCTTGGGGTCACTCCTGCTGGTGCTCAGAGGACAATATATGGTGCCAGGGTCAAGCAAGAGTCAGCTACATGAAAGCTAGAGCCTCAACCCCTGCACTATCTCTCCAGATCCTAAAATACAAGCCTTTGCACCGTAATATTTAAGAAACATGAGAAAAGAAAAAGCATTAGTATTAATTGACAAAGCATTAGTATTAATTCAAAAGTCTCAGACACTGCAAAAGTCTACTGAAAATCCTTTTTTTAAAAAAGGGCAATACAGAAACAAAACTCTTATTTTTAAAACAATGCCAGAACTAAGAATCTGTCTCTACAAGAAGTATATATCCTTGTCATATTAATTTAAGAACCTATATAGAACAAGCCTCAGCAGACAAAAAAAAGTATATGAGAATCTACACAGATATAATCTAGAAATCCAGCTCTATCTGTGCTTGACAATGACGGCAAGCACAAACACTAACACCGCTCGTTTAAAATTCAGTACCTGGGCTCAATACCCAGAGAATAATAATGTTTAAGAAAACAATACAGCAAGAAACTGCTGCAGTAAAACCACTTATCTGTCAAAGGAAATGTGAAGCAATTAACAAAATATATGCTCACTGCTCAGAGAAATGACCTAAATTTAATGAGTACCACCAAACATCAAGCACTGAACTAAGTACTTTACAAATCAACTAATTTTTTTCCTACAAATACTCATTTTAACCCTAGTTTACTGAAAAATAATTAAACTGTAATTTCTGGCATACTTCATCTTACTTTTGTCATTTCAGACAGCATACACTTTATTTTTGGAGAGAGGGGTACACCCAGAGATGCTCAGGGCTTACTCCTGGCTCTGAGTTACCGATTACTCCCAGCTAGCTCAGGGCTCAGGATGCTGGGGACTGAACCAGGGTTGGCTATGTGAGGGCCAGACCCCTATCCTCTGTGCTACCACTCTAGTCCCTGTATACACTTTAAGTGATACACTGTGAAATCCTGAATGAAGTAACTTAGATTTATAACTGTTTTTATTAAACTATATTAGAGTTTTTCTCTGTTAAACACAAATACTTTCTATAGTAAAACCGAAAGAAAAACGTCACGTTCAATATAACAATGATCAATTGTAACATTCTGGTTAAAAAACATTTCGAATCTTTAAAGTGATACCAACCATAATTCATCAACAGTACAAGAAATGTTTTTATCACACTGTTAGAATTAATTCATAGTTTTCTTTTGGAAGGAAGAAAAAAGATCTTGAGTAGAAATTCATAACGAGTTATACACGAATGAGAATGTACACAGTAATGCCATCAAACTTTTAAACATCAAGAAAGGGTTAAAATGATAAAAAAAAGTAAGCTATCCCAATTTTATAAAATTAGCATATTCTACTATTTCATACAAGGAAATATATATATAATTTAAAACCAACATACTATGGCATGGTAAAATTTTAAAAACAATTTTCAGCTCATCAATTTGAAACAGAAGTACCAACAATCTCACTCCAAGAAAAAAAAAATTTTGGCACGGTAAGATTTGCAGCAATTCAAAACCATATATTTAATCAACTAAAAATAGCAGGAACAAATTCTGTTCACTCAGCAGCAACTGATGTCAATCCCTCACACCAGTAATATGTCATCTTAATAAAAATGTAAAATGTCTCGACTCCAACAGTCACACATAAATGAATGGACCAGAGTGTTCACTGAGATGTGATGATTCGACTGCCTAAAAAAACTGCCTTCTGTTTAAAAATTAAGAACTATTACGTGTATAAATAATATGCCCAAGCTCATACTAGCCCTAACAACGATGATTAATATCTGTAAAGACCCATTAAAGCGAAGTGCAAAAAAAAAAAAATTTATCTGGGGTTGCATATGAACCTGATAAATACTTGAGATTTGCTGTGCTATTTTTAACTGAACTTTCTGGCCTTGGGTCAAAGTTTTGCTAGCAAAATTCCAAAGTGAAAACGCTGGGGGAGAGAAGCCCACAGTCTTTGCTCTGGCTTAGGGAAAAGCTCAGCCCTTCGGGCAAGCACCCAAAGACCGGGAGTGCAGGTTTCCAGCAGGACCTCGACTGGGGGGGTGGTCCCGCCGCCCGGGCACAGGTGGAGAGCTCGCAGGCGAAGGCGCCCCGCCTGCTCCGTGGAAGAAAAGCGCATTCTGCCGCGTGCGCCCCCGACTCGCGCCCAGGGGAACTGAGTCACGCCGCGTGCGGGTGCGGGTGCGGGTGCGGGTGCGGGTGCCGGAACCTCCAGGGAACCTCCAGGGACGCCCCCCGCCCCCCCCCCGTTCCTGCAGCGGTCAGCCCGGCTGGAAAAAGGACCAGGGCGCTCCCTCGCGTCCCGGACAGTCCGCGAAGCGTGGTTCCTGGCAGGACAGGCAGGGGAGGACACCCCCTCACCCCCTAGGACCAACCTCACCCCCCCCAACCCCCGATTCCGATCCGCCCAGAGCGGACTCAAAAACATGAAGATCATCTACATCCCTCTCCGCTTCGGTCCGCCTCCCAGCCCCACGCCCTCTTCTCCCATCCGCGCACCTGGACCCCGGGCGGTGGGTGAGATACTAGAGGAATGGGGACGGGGGTGGGGAACCACGGGGGGGGGGAGGTGAGGGGTCCGAGAGAAAAAAAAACAAAACACACATTTTACAAGGGTCCGCGAGCCGCTTTTACGCCGCTATTAGTTTAGATCTCAAAACCCGGCTTGGGAACAAGGCACAATGGAGAGAGGGCTCCATGGAGCTCCAGCCCCGGGAAATCAAACTTCCCAGCACCAGCAGCAGCAGCAGCTGCAGCAGCAGCACAGAACTGAGCAGCAAGTAGGAGGATTTGAAAAGCAGACACGGCAAAGGAGGAAAAGGAGGAGAAAAAAAAAAAAAGAACACCAAAACGGTTTGCAACTTGGGGTTTCGCGCTCGCAGACGGAAGTGGAGAGAAGGAAGAGCAAGCCCCCGGGGGTCTCAGGTGGCGCAGGTGGGTGGGGGCCCCCTCCCCGCACTGCCGGCCGGTCGCGGGCAGGCGGAACCAGGAGCGGGAGCTGGCGGGGGCGGCGGCGGGAAGCGGCGGGGTGACACGCGCCCCGGGTGGGACGGGAAGGAGCCGGGGGCGGGGGGCAGGGGGCGGGGGACGGGGGAGGGTCTCCCCGCGCGGAAGCCCGGCGCGCGCGCCGGCACCTACCAGCAGGCTCTCCACGTTGATGGGGGAGCGCGGGTCTCGGATGAGCGCCTCCAGCTTCCTCTGGCGGCCGGCGCCCGCCCCGTCCCCCGCCGCGGCCTCGGGGGCGCCGGGCATTTTCGCCGCCGGCGGCGGGGGCCGGCTCATGCCGCAGCCGCGGGACACGCACGGAGGGGGCGCGCGCGCGCGCGCGGGAGCCCCGGCCGCGGGGTCGCTGCGGGGCCTGGGGAGGAGGCGGAGGCGGAGGCGTCGCCGCCGCCGCCGCCGCCGCGCCCCCCGCCCAACCGCCGGCTCCGGGCCGCCTTCCGCCCGGGCCCACCGAACGCCGGGAGAGCCCCGCGCCGGGCACCTCCGAGGCCGCTCGCTCCGAAGCCCGCGGCGGGTCCCGCAGGCCCCCCGGGGGGCGGCGGGCAGCGCACGGCCGCGTCCCCGCCCCTCCGGTTCGCGCCGCCCGCTCCGGCCGCTCCGCCGCGAGCTTTTTTCCCTCAGGACGCCCGAGGGCGGGAGCGGGGAAGTGGTGGCGGCGCCGCCGCCGCCACCGCCCCGGGGGCACCGGCCGCCCCGCCCTCGGAGGCGCCGGGAGGCTGGAGACCGGCTCCCCGCGCTACGGCCGCCGCCCGCCGCCTCCCATGGCCGTGCCCGGCCGCCCGCGCCCCACCAGCCCGCAAGCCCTTCACACACTCCCGCGCAGCGCCCGTCTCCGGCCGCGCGCAGCCGCTACCCACAAGCCCCTCCGCCCGCGGCCGCCGGCGCGCGCCCCCGCGCGCCCCGCCACGCCCCGCCCCGCGCGCACAGGCCCCGCCCCGCGCGCACAGGCCCCGCCCCCGAGGGCGCAGGTCCCGCCCCCCGCGCGCACCGCCCCCGCCCGACGGCCTCCGCCTGCTTTACCCCCTTTTCTCTCTCTCTCTCTCTTTCCCCTTTGATTTATTTATTTATTTTTTCCCTGTTTCTTCCTGTCTGCTGGGGCTACGCTTATTCTCCTTTCGGAGACTCCTTCCTCGCCCGCTTTCCTCTTCCCCCTTTTGGAGTTCTCAAGTGGGGGGGGGGGCGGTCAATGGCCAGGCTGCGGATCCCCGGCTGCCCGGACCCTTCGAACTGCAGCTGGGGGAGGGGAGAGTGCGCCCCGCCCCCGCCCCGGGATGGGAGGGTAAAGGGTGGCGGTCGGGGGGGGTGGGGCGGGGGAGAGATCTGGTTCCGCTCCCGCGCGTCCCTGCCGGGACCGACGACCCCGCGGGTCCCTCCGCCGCCGCGCCCGGGTGTGGTGGGGGTGGGGGCCGCCGCCGCCACCAGACTCCGGTTCGCGCCCGCCAGCACCGGCACCACCACCCAGCCCAGCTGACTCAACACACAGCTATGCGGGCCTCGCTCCGAACGCGCCAGAATCATAGCGACCGCTAGTCACTGCCGGCTCCCGCTGAGCTCTGCACTTGCAGAGGGCCCGAGTGGGCTCCCAGGAGGATGCGTGGGGGAAGGAGGGTGTGCAGCCTGGGCGTCGGAGTCTGGAAGCGAGCAAGAGGGGGTCGGAATCCGCGTCCCGGGGCGGGAAGGCCTTGCCTGAGCGCCTGCGGCCCCCGGGGCAGAAGTCCTGGAATCCCAAACCCTTTCTGGTCCTTCCCTAAGGCCCAGACTTCAACAGTAATCTTGAAGAGAACAACAAGGGGGGGGGGGGGGGGGTGGAAAATGCTTTTCATCCTCAGACCTTCCAGCGGTCCTTGCCTTTTGCGGGGCGGAAGAGGGGTGGTTATAGGGGGCCACTCCTCCACATTCCTGCCCTCTCCCGGCCTGGCCGTGCTATTGGCCAGATCCACCCCGGGCGCAATCTGAAAAATATGTGCCAAGAACTATAAAACTGTTCATTGAGCCCCTTTGACCCAGTAAACCCATTTAAGGAAGTACATTTCTAAGGAAATGATCCAACGGAGGGAGGGGGGGGGAACTTGCATAAAGATGTTTATAGCAGGGCTATTCAGAATGTTCGTAATGACCAAGACCTGAGAAGGAACCAGTTGTCCAAGAACTGCGAAATCGTCCAGTCAAAATCAGCAGAATCCTGGTGGTAGGCAGACTATGGCAAGTGCGAGAAATGTGGGCAAGTATATAAAAAAGATGCATCAGAAATTAAGTCCGGTGAAACAGTACATGCAAAATAGTTATTTAAAGCTGTAAAAAAAAAGTCGCCCTCAACTGGAGGGGAAGTAAGGTTGTGTATTTGCTGGTAAAACATGGTCAAGGGAATATTAAGATTTCAAAAACTGATACCTTTTGTTCCAAACGCAAAGGTGGACGAACCACTTTTTAAAAGCTGCCCTCTGCTTAGGCATTAAGTGGTAAAGAACCTTAAGAACTTTTCTCACCATTCTTTTAGAGGTAATTTTGCAGATAGGCAAATTAGTTCTAAAACCCTAAACCGCAAAAAAACGTTTCTAACCATTAAGTGTTCCAGGAGTCTCCTCTTTCATTTCAAGTTAAAGCCACATTTCCATGGAGAAAGGGCCTATGGCGAGGGGGACCAGAGTGATAATACAGTGTGTAAGGCGCTTGCCTTGCAGAACCCCAAAGGTCCCCTGAGCGTCCCCTGAGCGTTCTTTGAGATAAGGAGGAGTAAGCCCTGAGCAATGCCTGTTGTGCTCCCCCTCCAAAAAAGGGGAAGGGTAGCAAAAGGGCCTAGAGGAGCTAATACAGCTTTTCCCTTTCCACTTCAACCTCTAGCCAGCAGGTAAATATCTTAAATAGAATACACAAAGTAATAATGCATTCTCAGGTTCCGAATTACTTTCACAGTGACTGCATGTACTTTTTAACGGAGTTTGATATCAAATGCGGAACTTTATAACCTTACAGCTAAAAAACAAAGTATTGGCCAACAAAATACTGCATGCCTTCTCCTATGCTCCTTGATAAAGGGTAGAAAAGGGCATTAGTGTCAAAGATTTTTATCCAAGAACCACACCGTTGTTTACAGATAAAAAGAAAAGATTCCTCCGCCCTTCTCAGAGAGCCCGCAAGCTACCCAGAGTATATCGCCCTCCCGGCAAAGCCTGGCAAGCTCCCCATGACATGTTCAATATGCCAAAAACAGTAACAAAAAGTCTCACAATTTGTTGTGAGATGCTACTGGTGCCCGCTCTAGCAAATCCATGAACAGCAAGACAGTGCAGTGCAGTGCAGTGAAATCCCTTAATAAGTTATTTTTTTCTCTGGTTGTTAAAATTCTTCCTTACCCAAGTAATGCAGGCATGCATTCTTATAAAAGTTAAACCCCAAATATACAGCAATATGACTTCAAAAATTATTCTCCAAAATCTTCCTACACATCATGCCCCAATCTTTCAAGTGCTTCATCCAATCTTTTTCTCACCAATATAGCATTAAACCATAGCATAGGGTTTTGCAACTTGAACTTTTTTTTTTTTTTGGTTAATAACGTGAGGGGCGGGAAGAGAGAGAGTACAATGTCTGAAACAATCGCCTTGCAAACAGCCAACCCAGGTTCAATTCCTGGCATCCCATATGGTCCCCCAAACACCACCACGAGTAATTCCTGATCTCAGAATCAGAAATAACTTCTGAGCATTGCTGGGTTTGGCCCAAAAGCAAATTTTAAAAAATGATTAAGAAAATAATAATGTCTTAGGGTTTCTCTATGTTTATATAGAGTTTACATTGTCCTTTTCAATTGCTATAAACATTTTCATAATATGGGAGTACCATACTTTATCTCCCTCTATCTAGCACATAGTGGGTAAGAACAAACTTAAGACAGAGGATAGCCTGTCCTAAAATCTTGCTACTCTCACTAGAACTGAGTGTATCTATTTCGTCTCCAGCTGGTCCCCAATAAGTCTTACATGACATTATTGTTCTCTCAATGAAACAATGTTGCAGTTAGCATCCTTTAAGATGAATATAATTTAAATAGTTTTTATTCATGAAAGTGAAATTCTTGTCTCACAGGGTACTGATCTTTAAAGTGTTGCAAATTCTGTCAATGGTGTTCTTTGAAAAGATCACTGCAGGGCCAGAGATAGAACTCAATGGAAGGTGTGTTGCCCACTTTTGATCCCATGGAACCAAGCCCACAGCCAAGAGTAGTCCCAGTGCATCACAGGGTGTGGCCACCATCAAAACAAAAACCAACAACAAAACTACATCAGTTTACATTCTCACTATCAGTAAGGGACACTGCCAGTTTCCTGTTTTCTTTGCCAATATTACATGTTACAAATTTTTGAAATTTTTGTCATCTTAACAGGCAAATGGGTGTGCATCTTTTTATTTGTATTCCCTTCATTTTTACTGAAGATGAGTATTTCATGTTTTTAGTTCTTCTGAAATCACCCGGTCATATCTTCTATCCAGTAAAATTGCCTTATGCCTGTTGATTTACAGGAATTTTAGTCTTCATCTTTGATATTCCTTCTTATTGCAATAGTAAATTACATGTTAGAATTTGTAAATGTTTTCTTCTAACTTTCTAGCTTGTTGCTTGTCATCCAGTTTTGGCTTACTTATCTTTAATCACACCAAAACTTAAGCTTTTCATGAAGTCCAGTCTGTTCACATTTCCTTTTACAAACATCTAGGTTTTGTTTCTGGATTGGTAAAAAAAAAAAAATAAAATAAAACTCAATGATTGGGGGCATACAGAAGTTAAGTGGTCAGGTAGATAAAAGAGGTTCTGTTCCCGCAGTTGGTACTTGACCTGTCAGAAGGTCTTATAGGTATTGCTGGGGAGCTGATGTTAAACTGACACCAATCACTTAGCCATGATCTGGTTATGAAGAAGTTGTCACTGGCTATAAGGAAATGGCAGTTTTCTAAGAACACATTCCAAATAAACAGCTCCCTTGAATACTCACTCTGAGGAATTTAGCCCTGATTTTTACTGCTCTGTAACTCTGTCCCAAACTGGCTCCTTTCTTTTTAAGCAGGAACCATTGTCCCTGATGGTCCTGAGCCCATGTAAGACTGGTGGGAGCTTGGGAGAAAAAAAAATACACAACTTTGTTCAGGGTTTGAGGAGCTAGTTCAAAGAGCTGAAATATATGCTTTGCATGGGGGGGGGGGGGGGGGGACCCCTTCCAGAGTCCAGCTGGGAGTAGCTGCAGGGTGTGGCTTAAAACAACAACAACAACAACAAAAACTCACTTTGTTCAGGAAGAGCCAGGAGGAAATGGACACAGAGTACAGGGCATTTAA